TACATTATTTTTAAGAATGTGTATTCTTTCCTTTCTTTATATAATATTTCTATGAAATTAATCAGTTATATATCGCATAATTATACCGTTTGTTAATATTTTAATGGTTTGTCATAAAAAAGCTTTCTGCATTTAAACTGTTTCTGGATTACTTCCCAAAGTCCGCATTATTTTTTCTTTTTTTTTTATATATATTTTTTTTTTAAATATTTTATTGTAACTTTTATTTTTTGGTAACTTTTTTAATAAAATTTTTATTCTTTTTATTTAAATCTTTTTTTATTTTTGTGTTATCTAATATTAATTCTTTATTATAACACGATCGCTTTTTTGTAATGAATTACAAATTGTAATAATGAAAAATTGTACCATCAGGATTTGACGAATATTATTGGTTAATTTTAATTTCAGATTTGGATTCAGCATACTATAGTAAAATTACATTGAAAATGATATTGTACTTTATTTAAAAAAAAAATAGTGGAGATTGAAGTAATGAAAAACATTACTTTTTCTATTTAACAGATCAAAGTCAAAATCAAGGTCATTATATGATACTTTTCAAAATCGCCACATAACATTGAAAAGAAGAAGAAGTTTCAACCTAAATTTTAATATCCTACAAGTTACATTTAATTGAGTACAGTTTTGAGTAGAGAGTGATCGAGTTGACGTGAAATGACCTATATATGTATAGTTAAATACATCTTTTTATAGTTGCAATATATAATAAATACAAAATGGTTTAATCAGCTTTGTAATCTAGTATTCCCCTTCTAAAAATATATTAATTCTTCAAATAAAACATATATAATTGTCACTTTTATATCGCTACCATTATGTTTTTCTTTGAGTGATGGCTACCAGAAACTCCTTTGATCCTGCAGTACCTGAATGGCATTTGTAACATTCCAAGCAGCTTGCCATTCGTTAATCTTGACACCCGCTCCGAACTCTCCGCCACCCTCGTCGTACTCGCTAAATTCTCCGCTGCTCATGCTTCCAGTTCTAATTTTGTCCCTATAATTAGAGTGACGATATATAATCAACTGAAATCCGAGCAGTAAGTAAAGCTAAAGTATGTATCTTTACCCATTTCTCTGATAACTGAAGGAGTCCTCAGCGATCCCCACGTTGTTCTGATCTCGATATGCCTGATCCCCGTTCATGGTCATCATCTCAGTGTTATCATGACCTTCGTCGAAGGATTTGAATTGACTCTGACCGGATCGGCCTTGAGGATGGTCCTGACCTATGCCGCCGGCGCCGCTGCCACGAATTAACTCCATGCACGGACTGTTCTCTGGCCATATGGCCTTCAAAGTCTCCCAGGCGACGTTGACCGTTGCACCAAAAGAAGGTATATAAAATCCACGGAAATTCGCCATTTTTCTCTGTTGCCTCTACGGCAATATGTTTAATTTCTTATAGATGTAGTCCCGTACATAAACTAAATACAGTGACTGAAGAAGAGAAGAATAGAATATTTCCTAGTGAGGTAAAGTAGAGTATTAGATTATTCAAATTTAAATCGTTCGCATCTTGCAAGTGTTAAAAATAGAGGATAAGTGATAAGAAAGACATGTAAATTGGTAATTAAGGAAACGAAGTAGTAGCTACGTGTACAAGAGGTGCATTTGGACATATCGAGCGGACACTCTCTCTCTCTCTCTCTCTCTCTCTCTCCCCTCTCTCTCTCTCTCTCCTCCCTCTCTCTCTCTCTCTCTCGTTTCATAGAATAATATACGAAACGTTTAGGAGTTCTTTAACATCTTGGATTAGTTCGTGCTAATATCAATAAGATAATCGTGCTTACCAAATGGCGAGTCCGACACCTGTTTCGGATGTTCCTCCAGGGAAATCCCTAATGATCGGAAGCCTCACACAGTGTAGAAATAAACTAAACCCGACCGAGATTCAGATGCAAACGAAGCTTCATGAAGAGGTGAAGAAAAAAAAAAGAGCGGAGAAGAATTGAAACGAGGGCGCGAAATTATATCTAACTATCCGGATTGTGAAGCCGCATGATGAAATAGTTACTTATCTAAGATCTACACCGCGGCTTTCCAGGTGAAAATCACGACGAATACGTCGACCGCGGCATCGACTAGCAGCGGGAACACGGTGTTGAAGGGATCAGAAGGATCGCGGGGGTAATATGGCCAGCCTCTCCCGAATGCGCAGGATCCGATCAATGCTCCATGAAAGAGAGAAACGTATCATCTCGCGCGTGCTTCCCATACACTGCTACATCCGCGCACCCCCAAAACGAGGGTGAGATAAGACCCGCGTCTCTTACTCGCACAAATACAAATCACGCGAAACTAATCGAGAGAAATTTAGATAGTATGCATGTGCATACTTTCCTTTTTAACATAAAAAAAAGAAGAAAAATAATTATTTCAGTGATCAAATTGATAAGACACTTGTCGGAATACTTATGGAAAAGCCCAAATTCAAATCTTCCTGGGAAAAAATTTTATATATAATATATATATTACATAAAATTATAATTTTATATATAATTGTATATAATTATAAATAAATATACATATTTTATATATGTATATTATATTATATTAATGACTCTAAGGTGTTATTTTTCATAATAAATTTTCTACCGTGTTTTAAAATCATTAGTATCGATATTATTAAATTATTTGTCAATTTAATTTGTGATATTATCTTAGTTTCAATTTAAGCGTGATATTAAATCAGCTTCACAATTTAAGATTATATATCAAGACCAACAAATAATCGGCGCATAGTTATTACTCGAACGAGAAATTGTAAAATTTACGTAAAAATATATTATTATAGTAAGCATCCACTTTGATCGAATACGGTCTTCTTCACTTACTATACAAGAGTTTGCTTCACTCGGAGTCTAATAATAATGTTGGGATTTTTAATTAAAATTAAATTTTAAGGAGATATCGAGGAGAAATACATACAATTACGTCCCCAAAGAAATGATTAGATCATTTAGATCACTTTATTTATATCATTGTTAATAACACAATCTGATTGTATTAAATAAAAGTAGATTAGACAGATTAAGAACTTGGAGCTTTTAATTAAATTTATGGATTAAAATTAAAGTTATCATACAGCATTTTAGAAGAAGAGAGAGAGAGAGAGAGAGAGAGAGAGAGAGAGAGAGAGAGATCTTTTGTAATGTTGTAACTTATGGTAAAGTTTAAAATTGATATATAAAGTGCACTAATAAATATCATGATTCAATCAATTTTTTAATAATTGCAAATTTTTAACTTGTGAAAATTTTTGTACAGTTAGCAAAATTTTACATTTTTCTGATTAAAATCTATGCCAGTGATAATAATAGTATTTTTTGAAAAAAATTGGTTTTTTCTACCAAAAATAATAAAATAAATCTTTTTATGGATATAATGGATACTTTCTATTTGATAACACAAGTCGACACAAGTATCGTTCTATCTTTGTTACGTATTCTGAATATCAAGAATATCAATTGTTTTCTGAATATCAAGAAAGATAGAATGATGCTTGTGTCAACTTGTGCCATCACTAAATGAAAAACGTCTATTCCAATTTACATGTCAGATCCCTTATTCTGTATCTCTCGTTGGTTGTGCCACTTTTTGATAAATTTTATCCGTTAGGTAAATCTTGCAATCCGTGCATGTGATTGAGTAATCTTGCTACTTACCTAACGGATAAAATTGACCGAAAGACGAATTTACAGAACAACCAGTCTTTAATAACAATAACGATATACGTTACATTGTCATTGAGCAAGTTATACATGATAAAAAAAAACTGCGAAACGACAATGTAACAAAATCGATATTGTCGTCATAGGCGCCGACTACGGGGGGACAGACCACTTTTTGATTTCAATAAAATTATTGGGGAAGGGGAAGGGGGCAATGCTCCCCCAATAATTTTTACCTTTTGGTGTTTTAACAAAAGTTTTTTAACAATCGCAAATAATTTCTGCGATCAAAACTACGAGAAAGCATCAACCACATGACATACCCTATACATAACGTACGTTGACGCGGCAAATCAAAAGTGGTTGGCACGTCGTCTCCTAAGGAGCCTTCAAACAAGAAATTTAGTGTAGCATTCTTATTGTTCGCTAATATTAAACAAGAATGAGATAATCATTGTGCTGAATCGCTTGTTGGGGCGTGTTCTGATTCCCATCAGGATGCTCCTCGGGTGCTATGTCATCCTTGTTTAACGTTTGTTAAACAAGGATGATATGATACCCAGGAACAACCGAGGTAGGAATCTAAACATGCTTCTAGAAGAAATCCCTAGTGTCCCTGCACAATACGTACCAGAGAGAAACTTGAGAGAGGAGCCTTTTTCATGTAACCGCAAAATACCTTGTGCACTACAGCTCTCTGAAGAAGTGGATATCAACTACGTAGCATTAGTTATTTCAGCGATTTATTTCTATCAGCATCGCAAAAAAAATGGATATTGTTGTGTCCCCCCCTCCCCCCCAATATTTCTCGATGCCTACTAATATTCTTCGCAAATCTATAATTGTTTCGCCGCCTATGATTGTCGTTAAGAGTATGTAAATATGAACATATGAATAAAGAGAATTATTCAATCGCATTTTACATACATCTTTAAAAAAGAAATGCGATTAGATAATTTTCTTTATGCATACATGTAGGCGTACTATGCAAGTTTGTGTGGATATATTCTAAAAATTACAAAATCTATATTAGTAAAAATTTTCCTGTCTGCTATTTTGTTTAATTAAAAATTAATAGGGTAAAGTCGCCTATTATGAGATAGGTTCCTAATATGAGTGAGGTTTCTAAACTACAAGCGCATGTGTTTGATTCTATCATGTACTTTTTACTCTTAGCGTGAAATCTATAGAAAATTGATTATTAGATCTTGCGTGTAGTCGTTGCAAAAAAAAAGATTTATAAAATTGAATGTTCAAATTTTATTGAGGTTAGTCTTTAAATCTTGTTTTATTATACAAAAATAAATATTGGGTAATAAAATCTGCATGCAGTGATAGAGTATGATCGTATTCATAGGAAATCGCGTGATATAATGATTTATTTAATTGTAAAGATTAGATTTGGTAATCGTGAAACTGCAAGGCATGAAAGTCGTAATATGAAATACTAAAGATATTCCTAGTTAATATGAGAGCATCTAAATAATTCAATGTCTTAAAACATACCATCGAATACGAAATGTTAAAAATGACGATTCTATTGTTAAGATTACTCACACACGCATACACACATACTCACATACACACACATTGAAAAATGATATAATTATTATGTATAACATTTAAATTCTTTGTTCCTACTTATATGTAATATAATAAAAGCATGTATAAAAAGCTTATCTTTATTTTTTCCTTAGTTTCCCGTTATGAGATACCACCTCATACAAGAAAACTTGTGCCTTACATTAAGAATCCTTTTTTTGAATGATCAAAATCTGTATTTTTGATAAAAAATTTCACATACAACAAAGTATAGCTATTATCGACTGCTAACCTTTGGCGATAAAACTTAAATATATTTCCCATAAATTTAATGTGAAATTAGAAATTCAGATTATAAATTAAATAAATTAGAAGCCTTTAAAAAAATGTATCTCGTAATAGGCGACTTTACCCTATAAAATTTAAACTATATATATTTTATACACACACACACACACACACACACACATCAGGACTTTTCTTCTCAGTTTAGTTCATTCTGTCTCTGTGAAAGATTTATCGTTATTTTTGTATACATATACCGGGTATTCGGCGAGACTCTAACAATAATTCATAGGAAGGTTAAACTGAGTTGAAAAATCTTCTACGATTTTGCAATTTTCGCAATAAGTAACGAAATATTAATTACTAAAAATTGCCGAATATTTTCAATAATTTCTTACTCAAATACTATCAATTTTACAGAAAAACTGCAAGAGACAAAAATTTATTTCCTTCTCATAGAATTCTAAGACTTTCAGACTTTTTTATCAACTTTTTAGCACATTTTTTTATTTTTACCAACATCCCGTCGCGAAAAAACAGATGATTTTACTAGTAAAAATATTATTGAAAAATTCATTGAAAATTAATGAAGTTTTATAATAGTATTTAATAGCAAGCTGAATGAGTTTATGTCAATGGTAATATTTTATCATTGAAGATTTTATCACTGGCTAATAATGTTTTCAATGGTACATTAATTTTACAGTTTTCAATGGTACATTAATTTTATATCATAAAATTATGATAAAAAAAAGTTTTTCGGGAATGAATTTTATAGTGCTTCGAAGCAGTCACCCATCCGGTTGCATACTGCCATCCGTTATCCTTGATTTCTGAAATCGTATGAAAACTGCTGTACTTCGATAATCCATAAACATCTATTATACAGGGTGATCCAAAAGTATGGAAACGGCCAAATAACTGTGGAGGAATGCACTTTGGGGAAAAAAGTTTCAGACAAAAGTCTTAGGTTTTTTCCTGGCTATTCAATAGTGACCTGAGATTTGACCTTGACCGTGACCTTGAATGTCATTTCAAAGTCAAATTTACTTTTTTAAAT